CTCCCTCCTATAAGGGTTGAGGACGCAGAGTCTGTCCTCCACAAGCAATTTTATCGCCATTGCTTTGTTTTCATGAATTTATGTAGCCAAATTTATCAGCACTGCCTGTCCAAATTTTCTTCCACGTAGTCACTCCTAAACTTATTCCAAAACAGATTCTCTCACGGCTTGTCAATATCCTCCCAATAGTTCACTTATTAATGTTCTTATAGGTGCCACAAAGGATTTGAGGTAGTTGAAAAGAGTATTAACCATACAATAAAGTATTAGAGTTTTAAACTTTGAAAGAAAAAAAATGTCAGAGAGCATATGCCTTGAGTTCTTTGCTTGTAACCCTTTGTAGTCTCTTGCCTAGCTCTCTATAACTACCCCTCCTTTTTTGTAACTTTTAAATTATCTGTACTGTATTTTCTGCTAACAAAATAATATGTGCTTTTAGTAAAAAAAAATAATAATATGTGCTTTTAGTAAAAATAAAATATGTATTGCAGAAATGTATAACCTAAAAAGTAGGGAATTCCCTGGTGGTCCATTGGTTAGGACTCCCTAAGATTCCACAAGCCACATGGCGCAGCCAAAAAAAAAAACCTAGACAGTAACAAAGTCACTCATAATCTATCCTCTCCTCCCAGTCTTTCCAGCACACCACACACTTATTAGTTTTGTTTATATTCCTCTGGTATTGTTTCAGTACTTACATTAGTATATTATTATTTTACAAAAAATTAATTTATTCTACATAACGTACTGCAACTTGTTTTAACATGACAACATAAGTTGGATATCTTTTCACATCAGTATACACATTTGTTAAAATGACATATAATGACAATAACATTGTAGCATGTACCATACTTTTTAAATTAATTTTTTGGACAATTTTTTTCTTTGCTGTTTTCTTTATAACAACTTTGCATCTCACCCCTTGTTTTTCTCACATAGTCTCAACTAGACCAATACCTAGATTTGAATAGTAAATATATTTTAAAATAGCAAGATAAATGCTGTCTTAGAATGGAAAATTTCAGAAGATGTGGAATGAACAGACCACTATCTCAAAATGAGATACCTTATGCTTTTTTACTGTTAAAAGAAATTTCAGACCTTATTTATAAATGAGCCAATATTCCTCAAAATCAAAAAGTAAATTTCTGAAACAAAAGTCATTCTTCTGATCAAGCAAAACCATTTTAAACGTTTAAAATTTAAAACAGAATATCCATTTCTCTGTGCAGAAAAAAGTAATTTAAATACTTGAGAATTCATTTGTGTCCTTATTTCTTAATTTAGTTTGTTTTGCATAATTAAGGCATGCACATGGTATAAACTTCAAAAGGTAGAAAAGATCCACCCACTTTTCACCCCAAAGCAGAAAGGCCTCCATATTACTGGGAGTCCTTTGATCACTTCTCTCCAGCGTTCTTTAATTGTGGATGTAGTGATACCCTCCATTTTGCTTTCTGCATCCCCCTCCCCAGCCATCCATCATCTCCAAGTCAATGAGAGAGCAAAAAACAGCAAGACGCTGAAAAGGAAGGGAATATGGTGTTTCCTACTTCGTCTCCTTTCACAAGCTACCCTGAAATGCTCTTCCAAGCTGGGATAAAATGAATGACGAACAGCAGGCTTTTACTTATACTAATGATGAAATAAAATTCATATTTTATGGCAAGACAAGAAAAATGTAAACATGAAACTTTTCTCTGCCTGTTTGGGCCTCCTCCCTCCCCTTTAGTGTATATAGTGCATCTGCATTAACCAGACCTCCTCAGGAGGTAACATTCCTTCTTAATCTTGTAAAGGCTCAAGATGACCCTCTACTCGCTTTGTACATGCAGATCTGGATTATGTAAACTGTCAGTATGTCATTTGATGTATAACTCTTTGTCTCAAAAATGTATATAACTGTACTTTGACCTCTAACTGGTGGTCCTCAGAGCTTTCTGAGAGACTCTGGGGTTATAATCTTCAGGTTGGCTCAAATAAAATTTTCTATTGCTTTCTTAGATTGACTATTAACTTTTTGTCAACACTAAGTTTGAGACAGTTCTAATATTATTATTATTATTTATTATTATTATTATTTTTTGCGGTACGCGGGCCTCTTACTGTTGTGGCCTCTCCCGTTGCAGAGCACAGGCTCCGGACGCAAAGGCTCAGCGGCCGTGGCTCACGGGCCTAGCCACGCCGCGGCACGTGGGATCTTCCCGGACTGGGGCACAAAACCGTGTCTTCTGCATCGGCAGGCTGACTCTCAACCACTGCGCCGCCAGGGAAGCCCCAGCTCTAATATTTTTATGAAGGTTTTATCATCCTGCGTTCTTGGTATTTGTGTAGTCAGGAATTTGGCCTCATCTAAAGAGACGTCTGGCCTTTGTCTTCTTCTGGGAGGTAACTTCTAAACACTAGGAATTTCCCTAGTGATAGGAGTATTATTCCTGGTGGTCCCCTCAGAACACAACTGAGAGTTTAGCTCATGAGATGACTCAGCATGGGGCATACACATACTTCTCAGGTCTGTTTCATAGGGACTTTTGGATTTTGACTGAGGGAAGATGTTGGAAAATGAAGGAGAGAGGGAAAGGATGAGGGCCAAGGAGGGTTTGGCCCTGGCCATGTTTCACATGATGTTTAGGACAGCATCGTTCCCTCTCACTATATTTGAATCAAAGTGCTGGGCTAGGAGAAACATAGCCCTGACCAAGTGGGACTATTTTTAAGTTACGCTCGTAAATAAAAAGCTATTGTGGAGTAGAAGAACCTTCTGAATAGGACAGCCTTCAAAGACACAGTGATGATTTGCCTTGATTTATCTGGGATACTTCCTATTTCCACCTGTTGTCTTTGTACAATTATTAAGAGCACCCACTGTCTCTCTCAAAGGTGTTCAAGTTTGGACAATGAATTAAATGGCCACCATTTTAAAAAAGAGGGTTCAGTTATCTGGGACAAGTGACATTTTGTCCTTTCTCCATCCTGTCTGGATTATGAAACTCCAGCAGCCATCTTGGACTATGACATGATCTTGAGAGTTAGGTACCATGCCCAAGAATGATGGAGCAGAAAAACAGAAAGTGACTAAACCACTAAGGATGATGAATCTGCCATACTAGCCCTGAATTGCCTTCTTCTGGTCTTCTTTTACATGAGGGAGATAAAAACCCTTTTTTGGGCTTTCCTATCATATGCAGGAGAACCTAATTGTAAAGGATATAGGGCCCAAGTGACTAAACAGTCAGAATAGGGGAAGGTGATGTAGCAGATCTTGTGGATGTTTCACCAGCATCCAGTCTAGTCCACTGCATAGTACCTAGGAGGTCTGCAGAGTTTTGACTTCAAGGATGGGTCTCGGCTGGCATTGACCTGTGAGTATCATCTTAGCCCCCTTGCCACATTAACTGGTTCAGGGGTGGGTAGTAAAAGCCAAATGTAAGCCAAGCAGCCCATAGTGTTCCTTTAAACACAGGGCTTTGTTTGACTGGAAGAAGACAAGACATGGAAGTTGTGATGTGCAGAAAATTTTAAAAACTTTTTATTCTGAGATTATTGTAGATTCACATATAGTTGTAAGAATAATAGAAACCCAGTATACTCTTCACCTAATCTCCTCCAATGTTACTATCTTACATAAGCATAGTACACTGTCACAATCAGGAAATTGACATTGATATCATCCACCAACCTTATTCAGATTTCACTTGTTTTTATATGCACTTGTGTGTGTGTGTGTATTTAGTTCTATGAAGTTTCATCATGTGTAGATATCACATGTGATTAACACCACAGTTAAGATACAGAACTGTTCCATCACAAGGATCCCTTTTATAGTCACAGACACCTCCTTTCCCCCTTCTCAATAAACCATAAACCACTACTCTGTTCTCTATATCTATCATTTTGTCACTTCAAGAATGCTATAAATGGAATCATACAGAATATAACATTTCGAGACTGACCTTCTTGACTCAGTATAATTCCCTTGAGATCCATCCAAGTTGTGTATTTCAATAGTTCATTCCTTTTCATTGCTGAAAAGTATTCCATGATATGGATGTGCCACAATTTGTTTAACCACTCATTATTGAAGGCTGTTTCCAAGTTTGGCTATTATGAATAATGCTTCATGCAAACTTTTGGTGTGAATGTTAAGTTTTCATTTCTCTGGGTTAAATGTCCAATGACATATAGATTTGAGACTCAAAACTGCAGCAGCCATTTGGCTACCTCATCAGAGAAACCTCCTCTGACCACCCAATATAACGTAATGCCCCAATCACTCTTCATCCTCCATATCCTGATTCATTTTTCTTCATGGATCTTTCATACTATGTATTTATTTCTTAGCTTGCCTATTATCCATATTTCTCCCTAGAAAGCAAATCCATGAGCCCAGGAACTTTGTTTTGTTCCCTGCTGTATCCTGGAGCCTAAAAGAGAGCCATGGTACACCCTCAACAAACACTTAAATGAATGAATGAATGGATGGATGAATGAATGAATGAATAAATCTCAGACATCTTTCCATATTAGTATATAGAGATCTAACTTATTCTTTTTGGTCCCTGCATAGTATTCCATTGTAAGACTGAATAGTATTTTCATTAACTTGTCCCCTATTGAAGCATATTTATATTGGTTCCAGCATTTTACAAATGCAAACAATGCTATAATGACAATCCTTATACAATCATCTTTTTTTTTAATAAATTTATTTATTTTTGGCTGCTTTGGGTCTTTGTTGCTGCACACAGGCTTTCTCTAGTTGCAGTGAATGGGGGCTACTCTTCCTTGCGGTGCACAGGCTTCTCATTGCAGTGACTTCTCTTGTTGTGGAGCATGGGCTCTAGGCACGTGGGCTTCAGTAGCTGTGGCGTGCGGGCTCAGTAGTTGTGGCTCGCGGGCTCTAGAGCACAGGCTCAGTAGTTGTGGCGCACAGGCTTAGTTGCTCCGTGGCATGTGGGATCTTCCCAGACCAGGGCTGGAACCCATGTCCCCTGCATTGGCGGAGGATTCTTAACCACTGTGCCACCAGGGAAGTCCAATCAATCATCTTTGTACAGATGGGAGAGAAAAGGAGTAGATGGTTCAAAGAGTATGTGCATTAAAATTGTTTTTCTTAAGCTATTACTAAGTTGCTCTCAACAATGTTCTCCAAATTTACCCTCTCATGGTATACTGGAATGCCTGTTTCCTCATGTTCTCACCAATACTGAGTATTGTTGAGCTTTTTAGTCTTTACTCATTTCATAAATTAAAAGCAACATCACATTAATTTATTAATAGTGAGTTAAACTTCTTTCCACATGTTTATTAACTTGTTCTTTTCCCCTGTGAAACAAGGCAGGACCTGTGGGGCCCTCCCTGGTACAAACCCTTCCTGTGTCCATAGACTTTATTCAGCCTCCTTGAGCTTCCCTGAGTTCTAAAGAGCAGATTCAAACAGTTGCTAATCAGGGAAGAGAGGGAATGAAGAAGGAAAGGAAGAGCAGTCACGAAACAATAGTGCACCCTTGGGGCAGGGTCCTGGTTCCTCCTCGGAGTATATATGACAACATATATATTGAGTTCTTCTGCCAGAACTAAGGTCCTCACCCAGGTGGAGGATGGTAACTTCAAGCTGAACACAAGATTTCTGGAGCACTGCCTGTCCTGTTACCTCACCACCAACCAATCAGAAGAAAGTCACACACCCTGCAGGCCTCACCCCAAATTTTGCCTATTAAAAACTTCTCCTCCAAAACCATTGGGGAGTTTAGGGGTTTTGAGCACGAGCCACCCGTTCTCCTTGCTTGGTCCTGCAATATAAACCTTTCCCTGCTCCAAACTCTGACATTCTGGTTTGCTTAGCCTCACTGTTCGTCAGGCACAGGAACTTGGGTTTGAGAACAAGATTTGGGTTTATTTCTCGGTTCCCAGTCTATTCTATTGATCTATCAGCTTAGTCTTACTTTAATTATTGTAGCCTTGTGTTTTTCCTATTTTTTATTTTTATATTTCCAGACTAACTTTAGCATCACTTGGTAAAGACAGATAAAAGAGGAGAGGGTGGAAGCAGAAATATCTTAGGCCTTATCAGGTTCTCCTCAGTTTGGTGCCTGGAAGAAGAATGGTCCAAGGAGAAAGGGGTCAACAGTGTCAAATGCCTCAGGAACATTAAGATAAAGGCTGAAGAGTATCCTCTGGATTTAGCCAATACTAACAGAAATTACTGGCACCCTGAGGGCAGATAGGTTGTGTTGATAGGGAATTTATTTTTAAATAGGTGGGAATTTATTTTAAAATAAAACACTTTATTAATAAAAATTGTATTTATTAGTTAGGTTTAGTTTCCGTTGCATATGCAGACAATCCAAATAGGTGGCTTAAACAGGACAGTTGCTTTAGTCTCTCTTACATATATAATTAGATGCAGGCACTCTGCAGTGAATAAGGACCCAGGCTTCTTTACCTTTTACTATATCATCTTAGTGCAGGCTTCCATCCTCAAGATTGTCTCATGGTCCAGGACAGCTGGTCAACCTCCTACCATCACGTGCACATTCCGGGCTGGAAGAATTAGGAAGGGGGAATGTTAAAAGGGTATGCTTTGCAGCTGAGTAGTCTTCCTTTAAGAAGCATTCTCAGAATGACCAGCCAAAACCTTCCACATAGATATCACTAGCCACCTACAATCTCAGGGCCATGTTGAAGTGTGAAAGAAGCGCTAGGTGAGTTGGTGTTCCTGAGCACATCCATAACCAGCTGGACAAGATTTCATACAGCAGAGCTGCCTTCATGAATATACCATAGTATTGGCAGTAAAGGCACCTGGAAAGTATCTTTCAGCTGGGCATATTGCTACTTGGAATAAAACTTTAAGGAAGGAGTGGAGATTGGCTATAAAGTAGTCAATGACAGTCCCTTCCATATTGTGTTAAGAATGAAAAGCACTTATTAAAATAAATAGCTGTACCAGAAGTCCCAAACTGGAGGTGAGGAGGTCAATTTCATCTTGCAGAGATGATTTTTACAATTTTTAGTTAGTTTCCAACACTTGAAAGTCAATCAATTTCACATAAATCTCTAGATTTCTGCCTTCTCTTGAAAATCAAAGATTTGGCAATATGCTGGGCTCACATTCTCAATAAGAAGTAGCTGCCTCATCTGCCCTCCAGTTATTCGCTGTCCCCATCTTTCCCTGTTGTGACCCTGGACTGGCCTGCTCATTTAAATTACCTTCTTGTCTCCAGTAGGCATTTGTGTTTGCACCCTTTACAAATGAATAACTGTGATAAAGATAAGAAGTATGCATAAAATGTGACAGTAGAATCATTAAGTTAATTGATTATTAGTCTAATAATTCAACAAGTGTTGAAGTCCTTTCACGTGATTAAATCTATGTGCAAGGTATAATGGAGATCACAGAAGGTCTGGAAAGAAGTTTCTGTCCTCATGGAGTTACTAAAGCATCTGATCTCAGTTTATTTATGTATACTTTATACTTGACATATAAAGTATGCTGGACTATGTGAGAGCACACATCACTTCCTATTCTAAAAGTGTGCCCTGAATTAGAACCTTGACAGACATGTAAGAGTTATTGAAGTGTTACGTAAATAGGTTAGAGAAAAAGACTAGAAACTGGGAAACTGGTGGAATTGGTCACATTCAACCAGTCACTAACTCATTTAAAACACATTTGCAAACTGACATTGTTGAAATCACTTAGGTCAAAGTATAGTAATGTAAATTAAGTCAACACAGGCAAGCCTGCCCAAATTCAATTAAATCCAGAGGAAGGACAATACTGAGAAAATAGCAAAGGAAACGAGGAAACACCAAGGTAGGGATGAGGGAACAACGCAAAATTTTATTAAGTTTACTGGATAATGAAAAGAGCCTGTGTCACCCACAGGATTCCCAATCTCCCTATACTTCAGGAAGGAGCAAGCATGTTTAGGTTCTATTCAACACAGCTCTTTGCAGTGGGTACTTTACTATTTTAATGGATAAGCATACTTAGGGTTTAAAAAGTAAAAGTTGTAAGGAAGTCTCCCTCCTTGCTGGGGTATAATTATTACCATTTCATCAGAGAGGAAACTGAAGCTCAGAATGGTAAACCAGTTTGCTTAGGCACAATAGGAAGCAGCAGAACTGGGCTTGTCTGTTTCTGTCACAGAAATGTTGCCGCCTGATAATTAAGCCTTTCTTTTTCGAAACAGAATTGCGAGCGCCTGTAAATGGGGTTTGTTTGATAAAGCTCCTCACAGGCCGGGTGGGGCTCAGTCTGCAACCCTCATCCCTCCGGCCTCCCGGGGAGGCCAGATGTCTCTTCTTACCACACCAACACAAAGCTAGCTTTCTCTCGCCTTTGCTGAGGCGTGGGCACCAGACAGGAAACCCAACAAAAGACCAGGGATCCAGGCCCAGGGCCGCCGAAGCTCGGCGGCGGGCCCGGAGCGTGCAGGCAGGGGATACCCTGTCCCCGCCGCACCCCGCGGACACCGCCTGCCTCTGTAACCGGTATCCAAGGCTCCCGCGCCCGCGCGTTCCGCCCCAGGGCGGGCGGCTAGGCCTCCGCGGACCTCTGCGGAGGAAATCATCCAGGCCTGAATCCAGGAAATCTTGCCGTGCGCAGGAGGCCTGAGCCAAGCCCCGCCCCCGAGCCGCCCCTTCCGCTCGCGCCGGGGTGAGGTCTGCGGGGCTGCCGGGATCCGCTCGGACGCGGCCACGTTGTCCTGAGCCTTCTGAGCGCCTGGCTCTGCGAGTCCAACCGGCGGCGCCCGACCATCTGCCCCCTCGCATAGCCGCTGGGCTAGGTGGGGTCGCAGTATCCCCACGCTCCCTCGGCCGGGCGCAGCGGCGCCGGGTTCCAGCGCGCGGGCGCGTCTGGGATCAGGGCCGGGGAGGAGCCGCCCTCCGGCAGCCGGGCTCGCCTCCCGGCGCCGCCCAGAAGCAGCGAACGGGAGGGAGCGCGGTACAGCTGGGCTCCGCGCAGGGCTGGGCGCCGGGGCCCATGCCCGTGCGCCCCTGCGGGCCCGCGCCATGGCCTCCGGGAGCGTGGCCGAGTGCTTACAGCAGGAGACCACCTGCCCCGTGTGCCTGCAGTACTTTGTCGAGCCCATGATGCTCGACTGCGGCCACAACATCTGTTGCGCCTGCCTCGCCCGCTGCTGGGGCGCGGCGGAGACCAATGTGTCGTGCCCCCAGTGCCGGGAGACCTTCCCGCAGCGGCACATGCGGCCCAACCGGCACCTGGCCAACGTGACCCAGCTGGTGAAGCAGTTGCGCACCGAGCGGCCGTCGGGGCCCGGAGGCGAGATGGGCGTGTGCGAGAAACACCGCGAGCCCCTGAAGTTGTACTGCGAGGAGGACCAGATGCCCATCTGCGTGGTGTGCGACCGCTCCCGCGAGCACCGCGGCCACAGCGTGCTGCCGCTCGAGGAGGCGGTGGAGGGCTTCAAGGTGAGGGCCGGGCGTGCGGGGCGGGGAGGGGCCGGAGCGCGAGTCGGACAAAGGGAGGAGAGAGCCAAAGGGGCTTCCTTTTTTCCGCCTAGAAAATGGCTGAGCCGGACGTGTGGTTCACAGCCGTCATTTCCTCTCTGTCCGCTCCAGAGCCTCGGCACTCAGATTTGGGAGGAAAACCTGTAGCTGGTGAGGAAGCCAGAAGTCTCCCCACCCCCACTCTCATTTCCTTATGTGCCTCTATGTTTACCCGCACACGGGCACATTATACATAAAGACGGCCCATGGAGACCCCTCTTGACGGTATAAAAGATATGCGTAAAACCACGTCCACAACGACAAGCTTCAGAGACGCTCGCACTCCTGTCGGCTCCTAGATGATCTGAGACAGAACACAGTCGGACGTTAACTGGCTGTATACACATCAAGCAGAGGCCCATCACCTCTCCATTCCCCAGCACTTCCCTGTGCTCCGTCCTCTTCTAGAAGCTCACGGAAAAGAACGAGCTCCTTACTACCTAAGTCATTTAACCACCGTGAGACTCATAGGAGATAACACAGTTATGAAGATTGAGTGAAATAAAATGATGTGTGGATTCTTTTGTGAACTCTTGAACCAACAGACTGGCACAGCTAAACAATAACGTGGAAACAAAGTATTAAATATAAAACAGTTGTAAGGCAACATTCAAGGAGTGCATGATCTGTGTGTTTGAGGACTGCAGGAATATGTACACAATTATGTACATGTTTAAATGTGAGTACATTCATGCAAAATTATTCACTTAACATTTATGGTGCTTTCAAAAATATTCTTTTACTCACACTGGTGATAACCCTCTAGTAGGTTGAGAAGGTGGTGTTTGCCCATGTCACACCAGAGGAAAATAAGAGAAGTTAAGTCATTTTCTCAGTACGCGTCTGTGAAAGAGCGACAACTTAAAGCCTCCTAGTCCATTCACCTTTCCACTAAGCCATGCAGTATCCTTCCAAGGGCAGGTAGGTGACCCACCATTTAAGATACAAACTACCAAAGGAGAGGTCTGGTGACCCCTGTGCCCTGGTGATGGCAGTATGGTCCAAGGATAGGCTCTAACCAGGAACTTGGCATCAGGAATGTGGGTTGCACGTGTGATAAGCAGAACAGCCATATTGATGGTATGGTCTGCCTAATCTTGAACTGCCCACCTGTTTTTGCTTTTCTTAGGAGCAAATCCAGAACCAGCTGGACCACCTAAAAAGAGTGAAAGACCTAAAGAAGAGGCGTCGGGCACAGGGGGAACAGGCACGAGCTGAGCTCTTGGTAAGGTTCTTTGGAATTCACAGGTAATATCAGTTCTGCCTGTCACTCTCTTTTTTTTTGTGAGGCTGTTAAGCTCCCCTTAACCTTGTGCAGTCACGTCGCCCAGAACTTCTAGGTGTGGGTGGAACAGCCTTATATGGCAGTTGGAAATTCACCTGGAGAACCAAGGGATTCCCTCCCACATTTTGGGGGAAAGGATGGAATAGCTGAGTTTAGAACCCCTAGAGATCTGACCTATCAAAAGTTTAATCTGCTAGCTTTGTGCAGATCAAGGTTGATCCCTGACAAAGCTAATACAGGTGAGATTCTTGGGCACAGTTAGCCTCCTTTGTACCATTCTGCAGACAGTTGCTGACAGTGGCTTTATGTAAGCCCGCTTGTTGCTTCTTCCTGGAATGTTCCTTTTCTTGACAGTTAAGTTCTGAACTTTTCAGTTTGTTCCCTTCCCCTAGTCTCCCAAAGCCTTAGCAAGTGACTAATGTGCTGATTTGTGATAGGGATATTTGGGGGGGTTTGTTCTGGAAAAAAAAATAGACTTTTATAATATATACTTATATGTCTACCATCTAAGTGTTTAAGCCTCTTTTGAACAATAAATAAAATATTACAAATTCCCATCCATTAGAGGTATTTGCATCTGAAAAGCAAACTCTTAGACTAGTAGTGTCTAGCACCATCTTGTGAGAAATTTTGTCAGTCCTGGCCAGGGTGTAGTATAGAACTTTTGGACTGGGAACTTATTCCCATGATGCCGTAAGATCCCACCACTTGTTCTGCTCACAGAATCCACTGAGACCTCAGCTGCCTTTGCTTGAAAATAGGTCTGACTGAAGGAGAATCTTCTAGTGAGCCTGAGTGGACTTAAGTCATTAAGCACACCACTGTGTCCTCTCTGGGGGGGATTGTCAAAGGGGGGAAACAGCCCTTCTTTGAGAATCAGGGCACCTGCACATACTTCTTGGCTCTGTCAGTAGCCAGTTGAATAGATGGAGAGAGTAATACTACCTCTCTAGGCCTCAGTTTCCTCACTTGTGAAATAGGTAGGTTGGACTAGACTTTTGGTTCTTCAGCGAGGTGAGTACTGCCCTCTCCTCCTCTCCGTGGTGTGTGGGTGTTTGGTTGGAGTGATTGGGGAGGGTTGGGCAAGGATGCTAAATGTCCTGCAATGCAAAGAACAGTCCCATGCAGGCAGAATTGCCCCCCCCCCACCAGGGTGCCAATGGCATTCTCTTTGCAAAGCACTGAATTAGTTGAGCTTTAAGGACTCTTTCATTTCTAAGATTATATTGTATTGTTTATGCATTGAAAGACTTGTCCCTTTCAGGAGAAGTATAAGTTCGTGAAAAGGATTTATAAGCAAGGTGCGTGTGCATCACTATTCAGTAAATAGTATACCTGAATGAAATGATGAGGTCTTGGGGTGGATAGCCAGGGGAGAAATATGAAGGGCTCTAGAAGTAGCCTTTCCTCTCTTCACTGCCCTTGCCTGTCATCCACACAGAGCCTGACCCAGATGGAGAGGGAGAAGATCGTTTGGGAGTTTGAGCAGCTGTATCACTCCTTGAAGGAGCATGAGTATCGCCTCCTGGCCCGTCTCGAGGAGCTAGACTTGGCCATCTACAACAGTATCAATGGTGCCATCACTCAGTTCTCTTGCAACATCTCCCACCTCAGCAACCTGATCGCCCAGCTGGAAGAGAAGCAGCAGCAGCCCACCAGGGAGCTCCTGCAGGTGAGGCTTAGCGCGCCCTGCCAAGACAGCTCCTGCTAAAAGGTCTCCCTTCTCTCTTTGCCAAGCAGTATCCAGGACCCCCAACTGCCTTGCCAACTCTGTGGGAGTAGCAGGGGCTTGCCAAGCTCTCTGTTGGGCATGTTGGAGGGGAAATGTACAATAGAGGACCTGGTTGACACAGCTTGGGTCAGTCAGTTGCACTGTCTCATGGAAAGGGTAAAAGGGAAGCCTAATGCCCAGGCCTGTCCTGCACTGATAAGTGGTCTGATCACAGGCTCTCGACCTCTCTGGACCCAGTGACCTCATCTACTCATTATGTAATGAGGGGTTTGGCCCACATGTCATTTAAAGACCCTCCTCACTCCAGTTACCCTGTAATTTTAACATGTATGTGTGTATTACCACAGCTACAAAACAAAGAAACGCTTGAGTGGGAGTGGTCAGCCCAAGCAGTCTTGTGATTTAATCTTGGTAGTGCAGGTGATAAAGCTGCAATGCACCCAACCCAGGAAGACCGCTGGAAATGAGCTGATGCCTGGCTGTCATTTGTTCATTCAATGCATATGAATTGTCTGTTCTGGGTCAGGCACTAGTCTAGGCACCGGAATTAAGTGGTGAATAAGCTCTCCTGAAATTTAAATTCTAATGTTGAGATCATATGATAAAGAAGTGAGCAAACAAGTATCATTGGTGTTGATAAACGCCCTTAAAAAGGGGCTGATAGGGTAGGGTTAGGGTCAGCAAATTATGGCCCGCCACCTGTTTTTGTATGTTCTGCAAGCTAAGTATGCTTTTTACAGTTTTGAATGGTTGCAGAAGGATGTTATTTCATGATATGTGAAATTATATAAAATTTGAATTTCATTATCCATACTTTTTATTGGAACACAGCCACGCCCATTCATTTATGTATTGTCTGTCGCAGCAGAGTTGAGAAGTTGTGACAGAGACTGTATGGCCTTTTCCTTAGAAGAAGTTCACTGACTCCTGCTTTAGATTAAAACGAGAAGTCTTAATCTTGAGCCTTAACTAACACCAGTATTTAATTGCCAGGGAGAGAAGGAAGAGCTTGCAAAGCGAACAGTTGACCAGAGAATGTGGCAAGGGAGGAAGAATGTTTCAGGAAGGAGGGAGTGGACAACAGAATCTAATGCAGTTGAGGTGAAATAATATAAGGGCTGAGATACATTTGGTTTAAAAACATGGGCATCATTGATGATCTTGATAATAATCATTATCATCTCAATGATTTTCATCTCAGATAATCATTGATATTCTGCCACAGTGGAATAATTTGGTCAGGAGCCACATGAGGTAGAGTTGTGGTGACAGAGGGTGAATGGAAACTGGAAGAGTAAATGACTGTTTCAAGAAGTAAGACTGTGAAGGAGATATTTAAAAAAATACTCGGAGATGAGGTAGGATTGTGGGGCTTTATGGGGAGGGAATGCTTAAAGAAACTAGCTAAACATATTTTAAAAGAAAATGTGGAAAGGAGCACCTATGTTGTAAGGATTCAGGTGAAGAAAATTACTGAAGCTATAAGG